GTCTGCCTAACACAGAAGGTCCCCAGTTCGAACCTGGGCGGAGCCATGGTTCTTTGAGCGGTGGTGGCCCGGTGGTGGCCCGGTGGTAACGTCACCAAATTGCCATCCCGGGAATGTGTGTTCGAATCCCACCACCACCGCCTAACTTCCCCCATTGTGTGTTGAATGGCAGCCCTTCGATTGGCAGCTTTCCTCTTCCTGAAAATTGTATCTTTGCATATTCAATAAAAGGAAGTGAAATCAAAAACGAAAGAAAAGAAAAAAGATAGGTGAGAGAAGTAATTGACGATAATCAAATAGTCGCTGATGTCTGTCACTGGTTTGGGTTTTTCATATATCAGAGCTCTTGGCACACTGTTAATCTCAGTAGTCCCTGAGTCTGATTTTATCTTGTCCCATCTAGCTTTAGCAAAAACCCGCACTCCTTTAGCCACAACACACAAGCTTTAGTCGCGCCGCAGTAGGTGAGTCAGATCAACAAGTTTCGGAATATTCTAAAGTCAACGGATTTTGAAAAAAATATTTTCTACAAATGTTGATGTTGCAAAGCTTGATTAAGAAATAAGGTGTGAGGTTGCATGCTGCAACACATGTTGATTGTAAAAGTTTTAACCGATGTACCCTTTTCGTCAAACCATTTNNTCAGTGTATCTGTATAACATGCAATACTCCTGGGAGTAAAAATCTCAAATGTAACTCAAACGATAGATTGTTTTGCATTCGTAAGCCCTGAAATAAATCAAAAGGTATGTGCTTACCATTTCGTATATACAATTAAAGTGAACTTCGCTAAAATATTGCAGGTTTTGGCTAAAGCTTTATAGGAAAAGGTATGGATCTTATTTGGTCGTTGTCTTTCCGTAATGCATGATATAGTAATTGGCATCTATTCAAGTGTCATTTCAACTGGTCCAATACTAAAATGGGTGACCTCTCCTCTAGGATTAAATACAAATTTGGGCAATATGATAGTACGCATACTGTTTAAGTTGATAGCATTAACTATATCTGAGACGATCCAAAAGTCTCATATATACCAAAAGGAATTTCTGGCAGTCATTTCTTGCATGCCCAAAATTTGTATCCAAAACGCAGTTCTCTAAATTCAGTGGTACGGATCAAGAATTGCGATAAACTTGCGAAAAATTCTTACTGATGGTCACTAAATCAAACCGGTCGCCTTGAATGGTGATACAGGAATACGATTATACAACTCGATGCAAAAACGCATTTGTTTTTCCCAACCAAAAATGTTCTCAACTATCTTTCCCTTCGTTTCATTACTAGAATCCTGGACAATCAGTTTTCAGGATGAGCACTTTGATCCACTAATAGCTCTTAACAATACTTGCAGAAAAATGGAATTCGGATTGTGGCATGAGGATTCGAACTCACGACTCCACAGTCGATGTGACGGTGTCTAAATCGCTTCGATGCCGTTGCTAAAAGCGCTTTCAGTGGTGACACTCAATTGACTAGCACAATCAACTTATCTCATCGCCACCGCTGACTTTTTTCCTTTGTAGTAGTATTACCTGGCACCTCTTAAAATTTGTTGTACAGTTCAGTACCCAATAAAACAAATAAAAAGAATGTTTAAAGTACAAGTAATACTGATTTCCACGTTTAATTATTCAGCAATTCAACACGTGAATATTCCTGGGGTTTTCCGAACCGCATGAAAAAATATCGTCAACTAAACCGATTATCGAAAATAATATGTTAGCAGTTGGTCTGTAAAAGCTGCTAAAGAATTCTTTCTTTGAGTCTAAATTTGATTATATGCAACTGGAAAATGTACATTTTGTTTGCTCCATTCTTTCACATCGTCTTGTCCCTCTCACCCATGACCTTAAACACCTTAATTCCCTCGGACTCTTTTTAGAGTGACAGGCTTGGATTAGCCCATTCGTTTCTTAAGAGGCTCCAGGCACTCTTGATGTTCTTGGATGTGGGTTTCAATCCTTAGGAGATCGTTAATTCCCCACTAGTTCATACATTTACATGGGATAGAAATGTTTGCGATAAGCAACAAAGAGCACTGGACAGCCGTTTCGTCCTGTTTGGGACTAGTTAGCAGGGCGTACTTTAGTGTCCCTATCAGGACTCGAACGGCGAAATTTCGAGTGGGGACTTCAAACTCTCACCTCTGAGCTACACGGTCGACGGTCATCATCCCTCTGAACCTCTCTATGATCCGTTGGATCATTTTAAGCGGTTTGTGTAACTTGGAATCCCTCATCCCGATATGAGACTGGCTGATTACCGGCTTGTCCATTTTGTGTTCTTGTTGCCCACTGTAATCCAGTCTTCTGAGTACCTCTGGCTCGGGTTAGGAGGATAAGCATCACGTCCCTTGTTGCAGCTAACCCTCTGACCGATCGATAAACAAACCCGATCGGTCGTGTGGTTTTGCATAGAGAAGCCAAAAATGCAGGTTTGCACAATGTATTTTGGATCACCGCGTTGCATCTGTACACGTGCATACTGCAGTTTATGTGATCACAAATATATGGACAATAAATGACAGAACCATATGCAGGGAAAGACTGAGGTCAAAATTATTCACCAAACACATTTGTTACCAAGGTAGAGCCAGAGTTATAAGCCATTCATGCTGTTTACACAGTTGGGGATGGTAATTTTGAATGGCCGGTGCCTCGGCGTATTTCAGAGCCCTGGTGTTGTTTGTATTGTAGGGGATTCTGAACGCGTCGCGCAACATGACACAGTGTTTCATTTCGACTAGGTGTTGCGTGATCGACGAACTGAGTCACTGGTGACATCATACTTCCGAAAATCCCATTCCTTGTTTTTTCCCGTTTATGGTTCTGTCATTTACTGACCATATATTTTTGATCACATAAACTGTAGTATGCACGTGTACCGATGTACCGAAATGATCCAGAATACATTGTGTAACCCTGATTTTGGCTTCTCTGTTCAAATTCTTTACGGGGAAAATATACTTTCAATTTGTCAAACCGTGTGAGTGTCGAGTCGTCAAAGGAGGATAAATTCTGAACGCGAAGCTGTTTAAGTGTTGGTAGAGAATCAAAACAAAAGTATCAGCAGCGGAGTGACTCGCCATCTAGGAAATCGGGAATAGAAAAAGTTCAAGCGATGATGACATTGGGCCAACGCTTAACCCGTGTAAGGTACACGCACTACCTTTCGAAACTGGTTCGGTAAACGGATAATTATAATAAAACTTTGAACTTGTCCTAATAACGGACAACAATATCCCCTAATGTAGTCCCACGCAAAACTCTTCTTGGTATTTTCCAAACTGGTTGTTCTCGCGATGAACGATCTCACTAACTATCTCGGAGATAGAATTCCGGAGGTGCGATAGAACAAATATCATAGAAAATGCATATTTATTTTATGACAGTTGTTCAATATGTTTTCCAACCTGCTGCTTGTATCACGAAATACGGTGAAGATAGTTTTCTTCCACTTTCAGAATAGTAACCGTTAGAATACTTTCGCACTGTGCCACAATACTCTGTTTAAGCCCCTCGATCGTTCTCAGTTTTCGGCAATAAGCGGTTCGTCACAGAAAGAAATTCAAAGGAGACAGATCAGGTGATCTTGGAAGCCATTCCTTTGGTCCTCCTCGACCAATCCATCTGCAGTTAAATTCCGAATCGAGGAATCTTCTCACCACCAGAGCATTGTGTGGCGATGCACCGTCATGTTGGAACCACACTGTAGTACTAACTTCAGTTTCTATACGCCGGATTGCAGGTGCCACATTATCATGTAACATTTGCTGTTATGAGGCGCCCTTAAGCAATGTAATAAG